CGGGTTTGGTTACAAAACTTGTTGACCCGGGTGTAGTATTGCCCACACAAGAAAACGGCAGTAGTGGACTGTGGAAGTGAAGGACGATCAGAAAGTGGGGCGCTTCGGTTGGAAAGGAGGCGTTTGGCAGCAAGCACACGTTGGCAGGGGCAGGGGCAAATCCTGCCAGAAGCGGAGTGACAAAGTTGGTTGGAGCGTATCAGGAAAAACAGGAAAACGCTTGTAGCGGTTGCCATTCAACGGAAGTTGGGCAGTTAAGGGGGACCTTATCAGCCTGAGGCAGGATGGCGAAGCAGAAGCGCGAGAAGGCGCCTGCGACACCAGGAAAGACCAAGCATTCCCTGGACGCTTCCAAGAGAGATGGCAAGAAGCCGGACAAGAACCTTCGGACGGCCGCAACTGTTCGGCGTCTTAAAATGTACAAGACGCGTCCAATCAGGGACAAGAATGGGAAGTTGGTGTATGAGGAGTTGCAGTCGAAGGCCCTTCCGTCAACCAGGATACAGGGTGACAGGCGGTGGTTTGGTGAGCGGTTGACTTTCTGCTGTTCTGATCTGACGTTGTAAGACCATTACCATTTCAGCCCTGAGGTGGTTGATCTTTTGAGTCACTCTGTTTTTCAGACAGAGTTTTAACGATGACAGTGGTGTTTACGCAATGATTGACAATCCAAAATTGTTATCCATTGATTCATCATCACCTGCGATTGTCTGGGTGGTATGCTATCTACTTCTTTGGAGTGTGTTCTGATTGTCGAAGTCTTTGATATGAGGAGTCTCTCCTTGTGTGTCTACTGCAGTATATTGCAAATGGCTGGGTCCATTTGCAATTCTCCTTTTGCCATCAAGGTTGAATCGTCAATCTGTGATGACCAAAACCCTTAAGCGACAAAAATTCATTGCACACCACCAATAATGTACTGAAAATCGTCCATCAGTAGTTTCAGAGTGCCTCGCTGCAGCCAGTACGGAGCACATTGTTGCTTGTGAATCACTTTATCTTTGTGAAAAACAGAGTGGTCGGTGTGCCCAGCATTGTTTCACCAGATCAGTCGGAGTGAAGCTGCCTCGCATTGCATTGCGCAGGGAACACCCGCGTGATTGGCCAGAAGGAGCTGGAGCAGTTCCGGGAGGAGATGACCACAAAAGCGGGGGACGCTTATACGGTGCTGCTGAAGGACCGGAAGCTGCCGATGGCGCTCCTGTCAGACAACCAAAAGGTGAGAATAGCCGCCTGGAAGGAGCGAGCAGCGCAAGAATTGCAGAGTTGGTTGTTGCCCCTCCTTAGGGGTGTGACCGAGGGGGCAGATTGTTGTATGCAAGGGTTCGTGCTTATAGCTTTTTTTTAGAGGCTCTCTTCTCTTCCCGCACTTTAAGCCGAGAACCAGATGATATGTTGGAGACCTGCCATGACGGAGATTAGTAAACGTCAGAGAGGCGCCTTTGAAAGTCAGGTCCAATTGTAACTTGAGTACCATGATTTATTTGTTCACTTTTATCGGTTATTCTGAGAGCTGCAGACTTATCCATATATAGGTCAGCTTCCTGTATAAGAATAAGTGCCGTTCTGAATCGAGTGTTCTTGGCTTGTTATTCAGGGTGAATTTTTGTGGCCTTTGTTTCAACTACGGAAGAGACGCTTGTTTCAACTTACGGAAGAGACCAGATTGCTATTGCCTTGCAAGCCTTTTTGAGGGCATCCTCTCCTCTTCTTCGATTCTTTAGTACTTAATTACAAAAGTCCTTTGCGCACACCCATGAAAAGATGTCAGACTTTAGATTAGCCCCTCATGGTCAACTTTTGGCTTTTCTTTCAGACCTCCCGCGTGAAGCTCCTGGGCACAGAGCCGTTCGGCGACGCCTTCGGGCCCAAGTCGACACGCAAGCGGCCCCGTCTCCAAGTCAGTGACTACGGTGCCATGGTAGACAAAGCGGCCGAGGTTGCAGACACGCACCTCGAGAAAGCGGAATTGGACTTTGCAGAGGCGCATCGGACAGGTGCCGACGAAGGGGTCAGGTCGGAGGTTAGGGATAACATGTTTCTCAAGGGGCAGAGCAAGCGCATTTGGGGGGAGCTGTTCAAGGTGCTGGACTCGTCGGACGTGGTTATCCAGGTGAGGTTAAGCAGTGGCTTCGTAACTTATGCAGGCGATGCTTTGGAGTAGGCTCTTTGTGACGCCTCTAAGTGCAGTTGTCTTATTATACAAACGAATAAACAACGCTGGTTGAGACCAAGCACCTGTGATTGCCATCTTGCTGACTCTGATATTTGCTCTTCTTCATCCGTTAGGGAGATAACAGAAACACTAAGGATATTGTGCCAGGTGTGGAGGGCCACACACTCTCTTGGCCATGTCATTGGCATTGTCGTTCATGTGGGGGACCCTTTGTCAGATCTATTGGAGTAGCATCTGACTTCACAGACTTGACCCCTGGATCAAGTCCTGGATCATGTCAACGAGTCAATTGACGCAATGACCAAGTTGACTTGTGCTGTTGATGGCTCGAGGCAGAAGCACCCAAGAGGAACGTGTTGCGGAAACGTGCTCGATAGGACGTAAGAATAGGAAGTCGACAAATTCGGGATCAACTAACTAGATCGGGGTTACCAGGTGATTGACGCGCGTGATCCGATGGGCACCCGGTGCAAGTTCCTGGAGCACCACCTGAAGAAGAACGCGACGCACAAGCACCTGCTGCTGCTGCTCAACAAGTGCGACCTCGTCCCTGCGTGGGTCACCAAGGGCTGGCTGCGTGTCCTCTCGCGCGAGTACCCCACGCTCGCGTTCCACGCTAGTGTCACCAACCCCTTCGGAAAGGTGGGTGCGTTATTATTTGGGTATGGTTGGCTGTGGTGATGTGTGGAAAAAAGCTGCTTTTCTGGTTTTTTTATTCGAGACGGGCGTCTTTGTGCTGAGTAGCACAAGAAAGTCACAGAACGACACGTTGGCCGAGCTGGATACTGAAGACGCCTTTTTTCCTTTGCATGGTTCTAGCATATCGTGGTCTCCCGGCGACCTTCATCTTCCTTCTTTGGTTGATCATCGCTTCTGGCACCCGCTACTCTTTAGGAATGCGTTCTCCAGAGGATCAAACGTTCTTTGTGTTGTTTGCCGGACACTCGCTTCTGACTCCACGTTGCCTTTTCCACGACTCGTATTGGCTCTGTGGACCACTTTGTTTGGATCTGAACTGCTAGTTTCGCCTCCCGATTGAGGTCGAGCTCTTCTTGTGTAGTCTTGTCTTTACCCCTCCCTTGCGCTCATGCTCTGTCCCATCGCAGTGCTTCCTGTCTTTCGCTCCATCAATGGCTAACCGTCCTTGCATCCACCGCTGAATGCAAAACACCCTACTCACCTGCCGCTGACCCTCTGCTTCGAGCTTCCAACTACCAAGACGGATGGATTGTTCTTCTTGTCCAGTTCCCTGCTCACCCCGTCGCTCTGTCTCTATCTTTGCAGGGCTCCCTGCTGTCGCTGCTGCGCCAGCTGGCGCGTCTTAAGAGCGACCGCCAGGCTATCTCGGTGGGCTTCGTGGGCTACCCGAACGTCGGCAAGTCGTCCGTCATCAACACGCTGCGAACCAAGAAGGTGCGCTTTTTATCACGCTGAGGTTGCAGTTCGATTCTATGTACGAATTAAGAGGTGAACACTTCTGGATTGGGACTGTGGATGATCTCATGAAGGATTCAAAAATGGGAGGTGCGCAACGTAATTGTCGGGGCCTCTAAAATCGCAAGGCCGTTCGATCAAAATACGGATCGGACGCTTCAGAATGCACAAAAGGTCTAAAACTGGTCTACGCCAGCGAGCATGCACGCAATGTGGCCGGCCACATTTTCAGTCCGTTCGATGAATATAACATCGACGATGCTGAAATACTCTTAATCTGGCCGATGCATCGAAGCCTTCAATAACGATCGGACGGCTGTGCGATTTTAGAGTCCCTCTTTTGCCTGAGCGACATCTACGCGGCGCTCCTACTGAAAAGGTAAACCCTCACTGATTCGACGAAGACGTCTTGATGGAGGGGTTTTGAGAACTTCAGGATCTGGGGTCGTTGTGGAAGAGATTCAAGCGCACCTGTCTTAGATTCACTTGGCTCCTGAGCTTGTTAGGTTCACGAGTTGCACGAATCTAAGCAAGATCCCCAGTGAATGGGTCGCCGGAGGCATTGGTTGAAACGGCAGAATTTGGTGATTGTTTGGAACGGTTTTTTGTATGTAGATTCGCCGGAGTTGGGGTTGGCTTCTTTTGTACGTATTCCCTTACATCCCTGCCCGTCGGTAGTTCCTTCTTTCAAACATCTGGAAGCTCAACTCTGATTTTGAGCCATATCCTCATGAGCCTCATCCCTACATACACACGGTCGTCTTGACTCCGCTCGTAAACCAGCAGATGTGCGGTCGAAGCACACTGCATGGTGCGGCAATTCGGTCAAGCATTGCAGGGGATGCGCATTCCGACACTCCTGTGTAAGCGACGCATTTGATAAACTCATCCCCCTTTTGATGGACGTACATTTACTGCTTGCGATCTTGTCCGCTTAGCGTCCAATTCGAAGTTTAACCGTACTCGACTTCAGCCCAACCCGAGTTTAATCACCCGAGCCTACCTTAACCTACCCCAGATCTAACCTAACCCGGTTTTTTGTGTCCAGGTGTGCAAGGTGGCGCCCATTCCCGGGGAGACCAAGGTGTGGCAGTACATCACGCTGATGAAGCGCATCAACCTGATTGACTGCCCAGGGATTGTGTACCAATCCAACGACACCGACACCGACATCGTCCTGAAGGGAGTGGTAAGTTGCGCTTCTTCGGCGCTCGGCTTGGGTTTGTTGCGGCTTCGTTCCGGTCTCGTCGATCCGTTTGCTTTACTTCTCATTGCCCTGCCCAAATTTGACTCACGAGTCTTCCTGTCAGTCTTGCCAGTACTTTACAGATTTTCGGGAGTCTGCCAAACTTGCTCTACTACTGGAAGAGTGCCGTCTGTCAATCGCATCCGCATCACTCAATTCGACACGGGAAACATCTGCTTTTCTGTTCCTCGATGGTGTTACGTGTCAAAATAATCCCACTTTTTGGGGGAGTGATTGTTGCGGATGGCGTCAGGCTGAGCACGTCACGCAGGCACCCGTTGACCTCCTCAAAAGACATTGATTGAGTCATGTGTTCAGGCGTCTGGACACTGCATCTCTAGACCCTCAGGTCCATGCGGTGTCAGGCGAGACCAATACGCACACGCTCTTTCAACTCCTATAAGACATGGATCCATTTCCCATAACCTAGAATCGTCAAATTCACTATGTCTAAACCCAGATCCTTCAAACCCTCAGGTCCGCGTGGGCAACTTGTCGGAGCCGGCAGAGCATGTGGCCGAGGTTCTCCGGCGGATCAAGCCCGAGTACTTGCGCCGGGCGTATCACATCGCGGACTGGGTCGACGATCTCGACTTCCTAACCCAGCTGGCAAAGCAAACCGGGAAGCTCGGAAAGGGGGGGGAGCCGGACGTGCAAACCGCGGCCAAGATGGTTCTCTTCGACTGGCAGCGCGGGAAGATTCCCTTCTTTACCCCCCCACCGAAGGACGAGGAGTTTCTGGCGCGCGCGGGGGTGGAGGCGGAGGGGGGAAACGGCCCCCCCGGAGAGGAGGCCCCGTTGGTGGTGCGGCAGAGTCTGCAGAAGGTGCCGGTGCAGGCGGAGATGTTCGACGAGGACGATAACAGGGCCCAGGATGGAGCGGAGGAGGACGAGGGCGAGCAAGAGGAGGAAGAAGGTACGGCGAAGGTTCGACTTTGGAGTCAGTCGTCAGGTGTTGGAAGTTGGAACAAGGAAGGCCGAGTGCTTTCTTGTAGAGTTGTTGCAGTGGATTAGAGAGGGGTGTATTCTGGGGTGCGGTCTCTTGCCGGAAGCTTTGGGTCTGTCTGTTTCTTACCCTACTCGCCCTGTCTTTGCACAAAATTTTTGCACCGGCCTTTGCACCGGCTTGGTATAGTTACTGATGTTCAAGCGGCAGAGGCGACGCTTTGAGTTGGCTGGGCAAAGCTGCTCCTTAATGCTGCGGAGTGTGCATGAAAGTCCAAAAGCACGTCGTACGCTAGATTTGGAGAAATAGTGATTGCTCTGACTGGTCCCATTGACAGCAAGTCTCCTCTGTTTGATGCCTCGTATGATGGTTCGGATGTCTTTTGGATGAAGTCAATGGGATGGGAACTCTGACGGGGGTACTTCTTGGCTCCTCAGACTGCCTTGTATATTCGCGGGGTTCCCTGGTAGAGCTGCTTGTTAGCTGTCTGACTAACGCCTTCGCCTGCGTTTCTGCAGAAGACGATGAGAGCGTCGAGGCTGATGGGGAGGACGAGGAGGGGAGCGACGAGGAGGGTCAGGCCGAGGGTTACGACGAGGGGTTAGAAGGGGGTTACGAAGAAGCTCTAGAAGCTGACAGTGGCGGGGATGAAGGCATAGCGGGTGTGGCGGAGCCAAGCACGTCGGGGCGGTCTGCCGAGAGCACCAGGGTTAAGGAGAAGGGCGCTTCGAAGAAGGGAAAGAGGAAACGGGTCAGCGAGGGGGTTAGCGATGACGAGGAGCTGACCTGGGAGGAAGTGCTGGCCAGCGTGCAAGCGCAGGTGGGGTTGGTGCCGGGTCAAGATGACGTCACTACAAAGTCAAACGGGGAGGACGAAGAAGATACGGTGGTGAAGGGTAAGGGGAAAAGGGAGGAGCCTTACTCGGCCAAGGGAAAAGGGGAGGTCCGACGGGTAGGGCGGACTTCGAAAAAGCTGAAAAAGTCGAAAAGAAACGAATGAAACGAAGATCTTTGAAACGACTTCGAACCTTTCTTATTTGAAAGTGGGGCTGGCAATCTTGGAAACTTGTTCGACAGCTGGATGTTCGACTTTCAAAGGCTGTAGCCACATGGGCCTTAAAGTTCAAAGCAAACACGACCATCGACAGTTGGATCCTGAATGTCGTTAACGTTATCATGGCTCGATATTGCGTCAATCTGCATTGAACACCGTGTTGGATCAGTATAGCTTGCAGAGGATGATTAGAGCTAGCATGCTTTGTTGCATATGTACCGCGGGGTTGGCTTTGCATGCAAAAACTTGTGTGACGCTAGCCACATTATAATCGTGGTCCATGTATGTGCACTTTATGAAATGTCGGCATGGCAATGTTGTGGCCAGATCATGATGATTCAGCTATCGTCAGTGCAACACTGTTGTGCCACTAAACATTTAAGCCGGAGCTTGACAGGTGCATTGATCGATCATTCAGCAATGTGAGTGCTGGCAAGGTACAACAATCCTTTTACTACTTATCTAAGACCAAGAGTCTGAAAACTCGAATCAATGATTGTTCTCCTATAAAAGTATCCCTGCAAGATCCACCTGGCCCCGCTGTTTAGCTAAGAGCGTGTCTCATGGCCAACTACGCGTAAGGACTCTTTGTCTGAACGTATCAAACCCAGGGGAGGACTGGCTTTCATACAAGAGCTTTTTGAAACAAAAACATGCAAATTCACAGCAAAACATGCAATCGATCAAGCACTGGCTTGAATGCAGCAATCATGCAATTTGAAAGTGCACGATCTCTCCATAAACTCGCTCTCTATATCTTGTGTCAAAATTTCCGACTGTTTGAAGGCACATGTGCATTGATGAGGATCGGACCACATGTTTCTCGTACCTAAAGAACATGTATAAAAGGGGACGTCGATCGTACACCAAATCGTCCCGCCAGCGCTGCGAGGTTGCCTCTGTCAGATGCTTGGGATTGAAGAGCTCAATCACAGCATCGACAAAGTGGTCGAGTCCCTAATCGGGTACATCACCCGCAGCCCCTAGGCGCCCCGAGTATATGGTCCGAGCGAGGTACTGGTAATGAAGCTTCGATGGCAAGCTGTACGACGTTGTCGTCCCGATGAGTTGGCCCATCCGGACCAGCTCATTGGCAGCATCTTCTTCATCATTTGTCAATTGTTCTCTTGACACCTGCAAGTTGATGTCTTCCACAAGCTTCCTAGCTAGGGATCTTGCAGCTTCACGGTTTGGTGAATAGTTCCTTTGAAGTAGAGTTTTCCTCATGCTTTCCAAGCTCCCGAGAGAGTCTAGAGTGTTGAAAAATTCAGGCGACAAGAGAAAGCCCGTGACCGCAGCCCGCCACTCCGGCTCCGTCTTCCGCCCCGTCCACAGGCCCATCAATGAGATGCGTTCAAGAACTCGGGAAAGCGTGCCTGGCTGCCGCTCCGTCGTGCGCATGATCCACTTCTGAATGTTGGTCGTGTTGTAGCCCTGCCGACTGTTTGCGCGCAGCCATCCATCCCACAACTCATCCGCCTCGTGCGTGGTGTATTGGAGGCTGGGGAGCTCGGAAGTGGGGTTCGGCCACAGACTTATAGTGTTGGCATCGCTCCAACTCCCAGGTGTCTCTACAGACCTCCCCCCGATGAGCACCTGGTTACTACCCCATGACGAAACCAGGATCACTTTTGTGCACATCTCCCTCTTGCCAGACTGGGCGGATTTGATGTAGCTGAACAGGGGTAAGGGCTGATCGAACGCTGCCTCACCATCGTCAACTAGAAGAAGTGTCCTCCTTCCTACCGCCTCTGTCTCGTTATAAGCCTCCCACAGCTCCCCAAAATCCACCTCTTTGTTCCCCGCCCGCCAGACCTCGTCAAAAGTTATCCGGCGCCCGTCTACAGTTTTCCCCACGTTTCCAAGACTCACGTAGTAGACTCGGTCAAAATCGGGGGAGAGCCCTTGGCCGACATGGTCTGCGAGCAGCTGCAGCATGGAAGTCTTCCCGGACTCGGGCGGTGCTCGAATCAGGAGGGCACCTGCCACCACCAGCCTGGGACGCAAGGATGCGGACACACGTGATGGTTCTCTGAGTGTAGATTCCCAGTGCCTTCTTCAGGTTGACGCCGTCCATTGCGGCACCGATAGAGAAAACTGGGCTAGGGGGGGCTGGACGACAGACCTTGGCTGGCGCTTCTCTTGAACGTGTACATGCCGGGGGGCAGGACAGCAGTAATACTAGGCGCAGCGTAACCAGTCCCGCTTTCAGGACTCCACGACCATACTCCTCCTTCAACAGCTCGATGACTTCCTGACGAGTCACTGAGACCATCAGAGGAGCGGAAGAGTGTGGCGGCCTGATCAGGCTCAATGTTCACCAGAATGTCCGCCTGCTGAGGAGCCTCCTGCGTCGGATTAGCCACCTCTGGTTCCAAGTCGGACGAGCTATGCGGATCGGGCGCCGCCGCCGCCGCCGCTGCCCTGGTGTGTCTGTCGGCCAGTGCGCTCCCCGGAGTGGATTCTTGAGTTCTCCAGATGCGGCTCTGCGTCAGCTTGAGATACTGCGGTGCAGCGACGGTGACGGGGATGTCATTCTTGAAATCCCAATGGAAGGTTTGCGAAGCGGAAGCACTCAGGCCCACGGGGACCCTCACAACCCTGCCAGCAGCAGCCATGCTTTGAGTCCGTCTGCGGAAAGCAAAAAGGTGAAGTTGAACTTGAACAAAAGTAGGGCGGCAATAATACTGAACTTCTCGGCACACGTTGTCCATAGAATCGGTCCATATTCTACATAAATGCGCGTTTATCGTCGAAACGCCGGATTGGATGCCGCGCGGGCGGGCTATTTTGCATTTTCAATAGCGACGTACAGAATTTAGTGACGGATCGTACCTCACGTCAATTCTGTCAAACAGAATCTACGGCCATTTTCAGACGCCGTCGAAATTTCCTCCCCGGGGAACTTCATCAGAGCGACTGTCTCGGTGTGTTCTACACTCAGAAAGTCGCTGCATTTCAAGACCCGGGGGAAGAAGACAGAAGTAGATTTGATATCTTGGAATTTTTCAGTTACGTACTCGGGTTTACTAACGATCGGTGTACCGGTGATCGCTGTTGACCTAGTCGTCAATCCCGGTTGATTCTATCACGCTAGCCGGTCATGCAAAATCCTACAACAAAGACTCCGGCGGTGGTAGTTAGCCTCGGTACTTCGTTCCACGCTTCTGGCAACCTTGGTGCCCGGCGATCTGTAGGCGAAGTTCAGTATCACCTCGTAGATTAGTTGCTACCTGAACAAATGACTGCATACCGCTACCTATTCAGCTGCAGTACATCCGGAACGTCCGTCCATACCTACTAACTCCGTACTAACTCGGAAATCTGGACTCGAAAGTTGCCTGAGGCTAAACCGGAACTTAGCGATCAGCTAGCTGGCTGCTGAAGGCTAGCTGGCAATGATGATGGGCGGCCGCGGCCGCGGGCCCGGTTTAAGTCCGACATCATCGCGTGCATACATGGCGCGATATGACGTCATGGCAATGATGACGCCCGCGCATATCATCTGTCTAGTAACTACACAATCAGGTCGTCGAAAACCCGAAACTGTGATTCGTGAAACAACAAAAACAAGGAAGGGCTTTGCCCTGCGGCTTGCACCCGGGGATGAGCCGGGCGGGTAGGTTAGCACTAACCCTCCCGACTGCGGACTGATGCAACTGATCGGTACGACTAGTACGGAGCCGTTAGGTAGGTACCAAGACTCAGTCCTGGAGACCAAAGTTTCAACTTCGTTCCGAAAGTCGATTTGCCAAGCTCCCAGGCCGACTGTTCCCAGTTCATCCGGGGAACCCTGGCTGCTCGATCACCAGACTCGAAATAATCCACGACTTGTTGGGCATTCTGCTGAAGCCCCTCGGTTGAGTCGGCCGGGTCGCAACTTTGTCAGTTGCTGTTTGCCTGCTGCTCGTGTCGAACACTACGATCTATGACGGTACGTACCGTACCTCCTCAGAACATACGGTACCTGGCTAGAACTTACAGTCCACCGAATGTCTAGCATGGAGGAAACACTCCAAATTCCAGTCTGAGTACGTGCAGGCAGCAGCACAGGTGCCTGCATCATCATGAGCGCAGCGTAAGTATCTAGACTCAGCTTACTACCTAGCTACCTTACAGTTTTAGCGTCATACGGTAGCTTCATTTTGCTTTTGCTTGAGCAAAGAGTCTCTAGACGATTGAGCAGCTTACTTTGCACCAGGGTAGCTGTGTCAGCGAGAGTATCATGGCGCAGGGAGCAGGCTCGGCGTTGGGTGACCCGCCTCACAAACGGACTGCGAATGGCGTAAACGGCAGTGCAACTCGCGCCTCTGCACCTTCTTTGCCCGCTGAAGTTGTGGGGAAGATTCTGTCGCTTACGGGGGAGAATGCGACCTTCATAGCAAGGGTGGCGGTGCTTGGGCGTGCTTGGCGTGACGCGGTGGAATGGCTGGACCATCTAGGTAAGTAAAAGTTGCAGGCTTGCTTTCTTTACGATTGCCTCGTTGAGACCAGAGTCCCTCACTGGAAGGAGAGTTCCAGATTGACTTGATGCTCCTGTTCATCAGAATGCACAGATGAAAAGCTGTTCGGCTGAAGAAGGTGCAGCATTCCCATTGCTACTGACAACTAGCTGGGTGAAAGTAGCTCTGTGTCAGTTTGCCAGAGCTCAACGCTTCCTGCAAAGTTGCTAACATTTTATGTGCACCATGAGAGGCCAAGTATTCAAGAGGCACCTTGGAAAAGTGTCTCCGCTCACCCCAGAAATTTGTGAGTCTGTATTGAATGTCTCCCCTGTCGACTGACAGCCCTCCCTGTGTCCTGCCAGACGTTCGCTTACACGAGACTTCCATATTGGAGCGGTCAGCCAAATCGCAGGCGGGAGTGACGCGCCTCATTCTGCGGGCCCGAAGGCTCCAGATTCTTGACCTTGAGTTCACGCACTCCCAAAATTCGGAGGAGGACCTCACCCTGACCAACCACAGCGCGACACCTGTCGCTGTCCTTGAGCCAAGCACTCTCGCAAAGTGGATCAATCACACCAAGCCGAGCCTGCTGCAACTCGCGGTCGCTGTGACAACCTCACGCAACCCTATTGTAAACGAGGCAGCTCTGGTGGAGACCATTCTCATCCACACCCGCGGTGCCACCAAGCTCAATAAGCTATGGCTCCATAACCTGGACCTCGACCTCCCGACAATCCAGGGGGCCCCCCAGGGCACGTTTCCCATCATGGCGGCGTCGCTGAAACCGCGCCGTATGTCGCAAGTGTTTGTGGAGCACTTCTTAGCGCAGAGCCCGAAGCTCCTTTTCATGAACGTGGACCTCGCTACCGAGGAGCAGGAACTCACGTTCACCTCCGACCGGCTCCAGCGGTTAGCGATAACCATCCTCGCCGGAACCCGTGTCAACTCGCTGACGGTCAACATGCCGGCACTGATGCGGCTGAAGGTGGAGTCGCCGTACCCGTTTGGCCCGCTGCACGCCCCCCTCTGCACGAAGCTCTCGCACCTCAATGTGCGGGTGTTCTCTCCTGGGCCGGAAGTTGAGGACAAGTTCCGGGTCAACCTCGCGCCCGAGCTGCGCGAGCTGCAGGGCGCGACGTTCCACCTGCCGAATTGCTCGTGGGAGCGCGTGAAGGCAATGGTCGGCCATGCGCCGAGCGTGCAGCACGTCGCGTTCACGCGCTCGATGGACTCGGTGCTTTCGCGGATGGACCTGGAGGTTGAGGGAATGATCCGGATGTTCCCGCGCCTAGTTAGCGCGTACTTTGGCGAGGCGATCTTCTGCGACATGATGGGGCAGGGGGGGGGGGAGAACTGGCGGGGGGAGGCGAAGTGGCGCGACATGCAGGCGATGCGGGTGGTTACAACGACGACGAGCAGGGAGTTTGTGATTGCGATCGCAAAGCTGCTGCGCAAGTGCCCGAAACTGATGGTGCTCGAGATCGCGCGGCCGTACGGGTGTGAGGAGGACCGTGTGGCCGCCGCCGTCGCTGGTACGTACCTTTCTTTCTGCTTCTCTCTGAAAATGCTCTGTTGCTTACATTCTTTTTGCAACCTTCTCACTGCATTTGCTGTCTGACATTCTGGCCACGGAGAACGACTTAGTAGAGCGAGGAAGCTGGCTGGCTCATTTGTCAAAAACATACTGCAATGGAGGTCTAGGAAAGTGTTTTACTCCTCTCTGGAGTGTGTCAATTGCTGGGTTGCAGAAAGCAGTCCGCTGGTTCTCAGGACCAAATTGTCCCGCTTCGCCCCCTGGATTCAAAAGCAATGGAAGACTGTCCTGGCACTGGAAATCTGAACTGACTGTTTAGGAGTGCCTGCTCCACTTCGCAGCTTTGATTAAGCCCCTTTCCTCTGCTCTTTCATGAAGTTGGAGGCACTTTGACGCTCCCTCTCTCGATGACGTGGGGAAGCCAACTCGCTGCTAATGGACATTCCCTCTGAGCTGTCCTGGTGGTTTTCTTCTCCTGTTTGACTAAGATAAGGGTTGAAGTGGTCAAGCGGAGCTTACAGTCCCTTCGCAACGATTGCAATTCCAAACACAGTAGGTTCGTTCGTGTTATGTCGGGGTTTGGGTCAACTGGTGAAGATGGTCAAATTAACCTCGTAGTGTCATGAACCTTTTGCCCCGCTGCTGTAGCTAGAGCCAGGGGTCATTGCCAAGGTTGGTGAACTGCTTGTCAGGGCAGGCAGTCCGGAGCTGCTTGCTGCAAGACCGTGCTGCACCGACTGCTGGATTCCAAACCCTTGATATGTAAACAATTTATTGCAACTTGACAAGAGGGCCTGTACCTTTGTTGGAGGAACAGACACCTTTCAGCAGTGCAGGAGGCAGTGCAGGAGACAGTTGTTTTTATCAGAAGCTTCAACCGAAGCTTCTCGTCCTTTCCTGCACATTGTTAGTGTTGGGTCTTCATGAAAACACAGTACTAACAACGGATGTCAGGAGTTGATCAGAAGAGTTGGACAGTTAGAAAAGTATTGAGTGCGCTGGCTTTTGCGTGCGGGTGTTCCTGCCTGGCCTGTTCACTGCTGTCAAAGCTTACGGTTACTGTTATCATTGGCATCATGAAGTCCGCTTTTGACCCGTTCTCAACGAGCGTAAGAGTTCAATGAAGCAGTTTGCCCGGAACTTGGGGCCCTTACTGCTGCTGCCTACCCGCAGGGTTACGAAAGTTTCCTTCTTCCAATCGTAGGCAGCAAGGTTCGAAGCTCGTCTATTCGGCGCCCCTGGAAGCCGGACGTTTTCAGCCTGTCAAGGACTCACAATCGTTATCGAGGACTGAGAGATGCTTTGCTGATACACTCAGGAGGCCCGTTTAGCTTTTCAAATTGGCTCAAACACCGCACTTCCTAATGCAGGCGATGCTGGCTACGAGTCCTCCGACAGCCAGGAACAACCGCTCGTTGACTACCGCGAGTTGGAGCGGGACAACCTGGAAGCTGTCGTCGGGCGCCTGCGCAAAAAGTACCCTAAGCTCTATGTGAAGGGCGACTTCGGGGTGGGGGAGTATGATTATTACGGATGGCAGTTTTCAGTTATCTGCCGGCCCAATCGGGATGCGTTGTAGCGCCGAATCGTCAAAGAGTATGATTTCAAACGTTGTTATTACGGTTGGGATTTCTTGGGTGTCTGGCCGCTCCAATCTGGTTGCGTTTTGTGGTGCGAGGTTATCAAAGTTGCACGAACGCCCTCTCCAATACTGAGATGATTAGTCTACTACGGTATGATCTGATTGTGTTGCTTAGAGACTGGGAGCCACTATTTTATAGGAGATTCTGCTTTGTTGATGCGTACAGCGTTGAGTATTGTCATTGCTTCTAACTTTGGAGAAGAACGTTGGATGACCCATTTGATTGTCTTTGTAAGGTGAACTTCGGAAATATTCAGTAGTAGTAGGAGTATAGTATCTAGAGTTTATTACGGCCAAGGTAGTTTAATCCGACGGGACATGGTTGAACAGGGGCATTGAGAATAAAAATCATGCAAGCACAATCCAAGGTTGCAACTTGCGGGCATCGCTTCAAACTCTGGGTCGAATCAAGGCTTCATTTGACGGTCAAGTGTTTCCAATCATTCGCGACAGGTGCAACGAAGTCTAAAGGTCTGGTCTATGCCATGGGTTTCAAGTTTTTGCGGCTGTGCCGATATAGGCATATATACAATAGGCATACACTGTGCATGAGCTGCTGGTCGGATTTGTTAGTAACATGTACCTACATGTTGATGTATGATCGAACGTACTCGTACATTGGTTGCACTGATTGTCCTTCCTAGCCCCATGCAAAATTAGTGGATAAGCATGCCATGGTCCCGAGTAGGCACCCATCTCCGTCGCATGAACATGATAGACGTTTAATGATGTGCATCTGGGCCATGATGCGCCGCCACTCAGGCTGAAAGGCTGGATATTGAACTCGGACCCGGGAATTAAGCCTGATCGGACCGTCGCCTCATTGGCCGATTGATCCATGTGCCGCGCCCATGATGATGATCCTCAAAAATGCAATTAACTGGACGTGTTCGTATTGCATGAGGATGCATGATGTGCGTGATCGCAGACTTAATCTACAAGTGACGGCTTCCGCAAGGGGAAGGACAAGGCCGAGTAGCGATCATGTTCTAGCATGTCCAGCCTTACCCCGTGTACTATACTATAGGAGCATTCAATAAAACATCTAGCTCATGTTAAGTTAAAGTGGGCGTAGGCGTCACGCCGGCGGCATGGCCGAAGCGTGACGACGGCACAGGTTAGGCAAGCGAGCATCGTCCGATAGATTCAACTCGTGCTTTATTGCCGTCCGATTTCAAATGCACTCGCGAGTGCATACGCCCACTTGAAGCATGTACTAAACGTACATCGGATGGCCATGCATCCTTCAGTTCGGCACATCGACTCATAGCTAGAATAACTTGCTAGCATGCAGTTTAGGTTACTTGCATCTTCATGGACATGACTCAAATACATGCAGCCGTAGCTAGAGCTGTAGAGTGATCAAAAACACCCATGGATCCCGGCTCGGCCGTGCTCAAACTTAGGCTGCAAATGACTCAGGGTGTGCCACGGCGTTATATATGACAATTTGGAGGCTTAGTATACTATGATACCATACATGAACGTACACGCGACCATGTTGTTCGACTCGAACGGTCGCACTTAAGACTCCAACCGTGTACCACATGATGTTCTCTTTTCAAACGCCGTAGCCACATGGGCCATAGGCTTCCATGGCATACGTACATGGGAATAGATGTTCGAGTTTTGAACGCCTAGCTACCCTACCGAAACTCCATGTGCTAAATCCGTCCAAACCTAGATCCTGGCAACTACTTATTCCCGGGCTAATGATCCCAAATCAGTATGCTAGCGAGGGACTACGAGCCAGCATCTTGCTGCAGAACTAGGATTGGCGCTGACTACCAGACGTCGGTTGGCAATCTCGGCAGGGATGTAGACCGCAAAAGGCCATACTTCACACATGATTCACGAGCAATTGCGGTGTTTGGTACACATGCATCATGCCGGCCATCAAAAAACCCCTGCCCCGTACACATGATCCAAGCTAACCTTAGTTCACAAGCAACCTATGGTGGGTATCGGCGGTCTCGATCGCGCGACGGTCCGGTCACAAATTTGAATCACCGGTGTCTCGCGTCGCGACAATTACTGTACGCGGTACTGACGACCGTGCAGACCGGTACTTGAGAATCCGGTCCGAGTTCATAAATTAGAATCTGTCTGACATTCCGATCGTCAGAAACTTCCGGAGTTTCCGGCGGTACGGTACCGATCAAGTCTGACCGTACGTGAAATTTGAAAATCATGGTTTCGATCGGAAGTTCCGACTCGAACCACCCTAGAGTACCGCGGTACCTAACTTGAAAGGAGAGTGCAGAAGATGGAAACGGGAGTGTAGGGAATGGCGCTTTTTAGAAGCAAGCAATGGCGGCCAACTTTGCAGCCACGATGGTGCTTCTTCCGATTTGTCCTCAACATAACAAGATGTTGGAGCTTCGAAGGAGCCTTCATGACGCTCTCCCAACATTTTTTTCTGCTTGTCAGAGGTTTTTATAAGCTGCATATGGCTCTTCTTTGCGTGCCAATTTGATGCTCCTCTCAAAGTGTAAAACCTGACACTGTCTAAGAATCTCCTCACACTTACTTACGGCCCGGCAAAATTTTTCTGAGTATTTGTACCGCCCGAGTAACATAAACCTGAGTAGCCGTGACGCGAACCGCCGGTAACACTGACGATATTCGATACGCGCTAAATCGATTTTGTGGCGGCCGGAGTCGGAATCGACTCGGCCGGTACCCACCATAGGTAGCTTGTGTTGATGTTTATGCAGTGCATGAATCGAGCATCCTCAATCGATCATGTTGACTCAACGCCGGCCGCAGATATCAGCATGTCCTTTTCAATGAGGTCACGCCACATACGGCCTGATTAATGACACAATCGTTTTGCTGGGCGGCTCAGCGCGGTCAGCTGCCCGCATGCCAACCGCGCCCGTGCAAAGGGCATCGTTTAAAGGCAGTTTGGCTGATTTACCAACCCCGCGCCGCAAGTCGGAACTTATGTGTGAGGAGGCCAAGTCGGTGTGCTCGGCTGTAATGCACCATCGCATTTGAGAGTGCAGCGCATTATGTTGCGGCACACTCTCCTGCCACAGGCAACCGGCTCTGCCATTTATTTAAGAAAGGCCAACAGACTGTCAATCCGTGCGACCCTCGACGTCGGTAGGAAATCAGACCGCATCGTTCCGCACTACATGTTGCAAATGTTGGTCAATCGAATCGACAATGCGGAGCCCAACCATTAGGCGGCCTCTTTCTTATACAACAGAACCTCCTTGATGTCCACGCCTTCTAAGTCCCTTACGACGTCATCGAACTGTAGGCATGGAAGCAGATTTTGAGGTTAGAACCATACAATCAGCAGATTTCCAGCTGGGCTCTGCACAATCCAGAATTTCGAAATTCGGGAGGAGTAGCTTCAAATAGAGGGTTAGTGCTCAACTTTGCCTTTGCAAGAAGCTGCGTGGATGTGATATCCACAGTTTTGCAGTTTCGCAGATTACAGTGAAGCACTACCGGCAACCGATAAAAGTTCGTAAACAACAGAACAGAGAGCAACAAGCCAGCACATGCGGGTGCACCTCTGATAGACGAACGAGAACAAAAGAAAGTCTCAACCAAGCCATCACCCTCACTGAATGAGAACCCTGCACCCCCCGCGACTTTCCCTGCCAAGTCGATCTTAAACTGGAACACGAAAATGTAGAGATGGCACCTCTTGATGCTGACGGACTGCCAACGTCAGCAGCACCCACTCACCTTCACAATGTTCCGCACGAAGAAGTCGCCGAATCGCCGGTTGCTTTTCGTCTCTGCTACGTGGATCATGTCCTGAAGGGAAAGGCGCCATGTAAGCAGAGCTGCGACTGCCAGTCCGAACAAGCGTCTTGAAGCCAGCAAGAAACCAAAGCAGTTCCGCAAACCAAGAGGTGTGTGTAAAGTCGTAGCTCTACCAGGGTCGGTTGCAAAATCCCGTGATCAAAGATGCCAACCCAAACGAGCGTTTCTAAGCGGCACTCTCCAGCTGCACAATTGCAACCAGACGCTTCATCTGGAGCGCTCTCAGTTGGCGCGCTTCCGTCGTCTCACAATTTAGCTCGGCTCATCGCAAAACTCAAAGAACGGCTTCAGTCCATCCTAGAATGGACATCGTGGGACAGTCTATGATGTCCCATAGACATAATCTACTATCTATTAGGATAATATCTATCTTAGTATGGTATCTTAACAACCCGGCGACCGAGTGTCCGAGTCACCGCCCTTATGGTCGCCCAGATGACCACGTGCATCAGAGGATAGGCAGCGACAGCCAGTCGAAACAAGTTATCTGTGTGTCGCCCGGAACTATGAGGGGGAAAAGAGCTCGTGGGGAAAGAGGAGAGTGCTCACCCCCTCGATGTAGAAGTCTAGGTCACTCGTCCGGTAGATGCTGCCGTCGACGCTGTCGACAATGTGCGTCTTGTGCTTGTACGTCAACAGGTGCGACCTAGAGGAACACGAGGCGCGTGTAAGGAAATGATAAAAAGTTGGGACACTGCAATTGCCCAAGAGTTCCCAAGCTTGGAAAAGGCACTTGTGCGGTATGTCGTTCTTGTCGACCGAGCAGGTGCATTTAAGAGAAATGAGGCGCAATTGAAAGTGAGGAGCGTTGAGACGAACGCACAACCAGAAAGACTGGTGCTGCTTCGACTTTCGACAGTGTGAATTCCCTAAAAGCGGCATTTGAGACGGACCTTGGGAGCTTACGCCTTTCAGAACCTCGGACTCTCATCAAAACTAACGATTGAGAACGGAGAGGAGGACAAAAGACAAAGCTGATTGAGCAGCCCACAGCCGACCTGGCAATGAGCTTGTTGGCGCCAAAAGACGGGGCAGACTAGAAAACTTAGGAGCTCAAGCCCTTCCAGCATTGGAGACAGAGCATTGAGGAAACATCGGTGTCTAATTGTTGCCCGCACCGTTGACAGCCGCATCGGACACGAGCAGATGCGAGCTTGGCGACGGAGATGGAACCGCCAAACTCGAATGTCCCGAAACCCCGGCTGAGTGTAGGAGGAAAACCAGAAGGCAGATCGGAGGAGAAGGAGGGAGCAAAACTGACCACCAAGGAACTTGTGCATGTTTGAAAGGTCTCCCGCTAAAACCCGCGAAGGCACCTTTGCTCTCAACTTGCGTCAAGAAATTGCGTTCCTGACTCCTCGGACTCTTCGAAAAACGGCGACATTGAAGAGAAAAGGGGAGGTTGAGGAAGAAAGGTTCAAGGAGAACATCGATGGATTGAAAGATGTCTCACCTGACGGTCGCCTCGTCGGAGCCGACGAAGGAGGCGAGCTTGGCGACGGAGATGGTGGTGTAGAGCTTGAGGTAGGAGCGGATCTGCTGCCCGCGCTGCTGTTGCCGGACGTCCGTCAGGAAGATCTTGAGCTGCAGCCGGTACGCGTCCTGAGGAGAAAACAAGATTGTCCGAATCTAAAAATGCTCCGAATAACCGAAAGAGTGATCAGTTCGGAGCGGTTGGAGAAGATTGACGTTTGAAGAACAGTGATGAACAAGCGGAGACGGGACCAGTTGATCCAAGCATAGGACACGTTTCGTCGCTCGTTGTTTCTAGACAAAGCGCAGATATGAATCTTGAGCTGCAGCCAATATGCGTCCTGTGGAGAAGACAAGCTTGACCTGTTTAGCAACGCTCCAATTGTAGACGAAAGTACCAACACTTCAAAGGCGTGGAAGTTGTTGGAAAGCCCTTGCAAACCGTGGGAAGCCGTTGGAAGCAGTTTGGAAGCTTTTAAAAAGCCGTTGGAAGCCGTTTGGGAGCTTTTGGAAAGCCGTTGGAAGCCGTTAGAAGCTGATGATTGAGCGGAGATGCGACCATTTCATAGCAAGCATAAAGAACATTTCATCGCTCTCTGTTCCTAGGCAAGGCTCAGCAATGGATCTTGAGCTGCGCCGTGATTAGTCCTGCAAAGAAGGCACGCGAGTGTTTACGAAGGAGATAGCTTACGACAAACGCATAGGAGATGCTCACCTGGTTGAAGTTGACGGGGGGTTCGTCCCAGTTTGGCGTGGAAGGCGTGATGAATTTCGGGCACGCGAACGAGAAGAGCTCGTCGTATATGGCGTCCACCTCATAGCCTATCCCCTGCAGCCGCTGCAGCTTGTCGCCGTGCTTCTCCCGCAGCTGGCTCGACACCGTCTCCTCCACCAACTGCAGGCAACGGAACGGCGGAATGAGAACGGAACCAAGGAATCAGAGGGAACAGGCAGGGAAACAGGTGGCTGAACACCGTCTCCTCCACCAACTGCGAGAACGGAACGGCGGAATGAGAACGGAACCGCGGAAGGAATACGGAACCGCGGAATCAGAGGGGAAGAAGGAAGGGGAACAGGTGGCTCGACACCGTCTCCTCCACCAACTGCGGGCAACAGAAGGGCGGAATCAAAGCGGAACAACGAACTCATAGCAGAATAGAAATCCGGATCATTGGCTCGACACCCGTCTCCTCCATCAGATACGGGCAACGGAACGGCGGAATCAGAGCGGAACGGAAGCATCTGAGGGGGATGCAGAAGAAGTATGTCTAGCTGACAACCATCTCCCCTCCCAACAACTGCGGGCACTAAATGGCGGAATCTGTATGGCGCCCGGGAGCCGTGCCAGAAACTTCGTCTCCTCCACACGAGGAGTAATGGACGAAACGTGGTTAACGAGTGACAAGGGTCAGTGACAAATGCTGCTGGCTGTCTTTGGACACCCGTTGTGTTTGGCAAACAACGCGCTACAAATCTGGAAAGAGGGAAAATTGCGGCGAGGACTCATAGCGATCCTCTGCAATCGCTGTGTGAAACCATGCAGAACCGCAGAAAAAGTGTCACAAAATAAGTCAAGCAACAAGACCCCGGATATTTGACACTGATTGACGAAGCAGGTCTGAAGCGCACCTTGTTTTGTGGGCTCAGTGCGAGTGCGGTCACTAGCAGAGCGTACAGCTGCTCGTTCTTCTTCGTGATCTGGTCGTACTGCGGGGACTGTGCCAGGTACGTTTGTGTCCGTGCGATGTACACCAGAACTGCGTTGAACACCTTGATGGCGTCTACGTACCTGCGGGTTAAGGGAACAAAACGGGTTTAGAATCAGAGCAAAATGAGATGGTGCAGCGTGTCTGGGGATCGAGACGAATTTGACATATGGCCGACTACGGGGTTGTAGGGCAGCCTTTCAGAGGCGCTTCTCAAGCACGACAGGAAGCAATAAAAGGATTGCGTTTGTCATCCGCCCAATAAGTCTATCTGACAAGGCCCTGCACAACGACAAGCTTCTGAAGATTCGATTCTGATTCAAAAGACAATCCTGAGACTGCTGTCCCAGACAGTTTGTCCAACGGCCTAAACTGAGCGCAAAGCACCTCAGGAAGAAGCTGTTCCTGACGCAAACCTTTTGCCCCCCATCCTTACCTCCGAATCATCAGATAGGCGAATCCTGCGTAGTACATCGTCGTGATATGGCACCCGCTGACTTTCGTGAACACCCCCGGCCGACTGATATCCAACGGCTCCAAAACCTTCAGCCCCCCGTGGTAATCTCCCAGTAGGATATGCACCCGAAGAAGCCCGACGATCGAGAAATAACCGAGGACTTTGAGGACGTTGCTCCCGCCCTGGTAATCATAGCCGTCAGCCGAGGTGAACGCTGCGCGAGCGGTCTCGTTGTCGAGGAGCGCGTAGATCTGGCTCTTGTCGATCAGGGCCTGGAGGTAGTTGAGAACGCCGTACACGTTCCAGACCTGGTTCAGGGGGGGTTATGTAGAATCAGCCTCGTCTGAAATTCACTACTGCGATTGAATATTTGCTCCCGTGAAACGAAGAAGCTTGGCCCTCTGCGAGAGTCTTGTGCAAGAACGCGAATGTGACAGCAAAAAAACGCCTTCTCTAGACGACCTGCCGGAAGAGGACTTCAATTTGAATGAGGAGCCCAAACCTTTATCCACTAAGATACTCGGAAGTCTAGCCCATCGATCTGGTCACGGCTCGTCGCCGCAACTAGTGCATAAACTGCCCCTCAAGCTCGACAGGACAGGATTTTGTGACAATTCCTCCATCTTCCGACATGCAAAACTCTCAGCTTCACAACAGTCGGCTCTTGCTACCCCGCTGGCCTGTTTCCAACTTTAAAACAACATAGGTCACAGCCAAGATCTCTCCGCCCAGTTAAAACCTCCCTCTAAGACAGAGAGAGAAGAGATGAAGAAGGTCGAAGCAGACAGCAAATCCGGATAGCCAAGGTGAAAAGAAAGCGCAGGGTTGCACAGCGAGTCGGACCTGGTCGTACTGGCGCAGCTGCTTGAGCTCCTCCTCCGAGCGCGCCTTCATCTTGGCGCGGTACTGGCAGAAGGACTGGAACTGGTAGATGAACTCATCCACCATGTCCCACAGCCACTGGTTCGGCAGCTGCATGTTCACGTTCCCGTGCAGGATGATCTGTACAGGAAAAAGAAGCTATGATCTTCAGTATGCTGTAAATAGGCCCTTCAGGAGGGAAGAAACGACATGAATCTGTTGATGTCTGCGTGCAGAATGAGCTGCAATGAGAAGATTGTAGCACGCCTTCACACAATTGACAAAGCAACAACTGGAATAAGATGTGGGCAGCTGCATGTTCACGTTGCCGTGCAGGATGATCTGCGGAAGACGGGGGTGCCGTAAGATGAACTCTTGCTTTTGTAAACTCACAAAGCAACCAAACAAGCCCGTGGGGCGCGTTGGCTTTCAGATCAGATTGATGGCCCACACACGTGCTTTTTGGAAAAGCAGGAGGGGCAGACACCAAAATGGCCCCTGCTTCATACCTGCCAGAGGACAGTTTCGAACCGACTGATGACTCTTTTCAAACAGCAAAAAAATGTTTTTATGTGAGCAGTAATGGAAACTGGGTGCGGGCTGCTTGCAGGATGATCTGTGCGTGCATTGTAGGGTCAGGTTGCCTGCTTGCTTAGGAAAGATCGTCGGAAGTGGTGGTCGATGACTCTCGGAAAAAGCATTCGAACTGGCCTCACCGGCGGCTGTCCAATATACACGGGCTGGAAAATCTCTACCCCTCACTTGTTCAATTGGACGGGGCATTAGTCCCTCAGCATGACTTGGCTGAGGCGAAACATGAATGGAGGGGGTGGTTATCAAGAATCCCCATCCTGCCCGTAGCCAGATGTGAAAGATACCAGACAAAGTGCTGTTAAGCGCCCTGAGTGACGCCCAATCTGTTCACTAGCTTAATAGCAATTGCAACGTGGGGGCTGAATTGTTAGACTGTGAGGTTATGTAATCAAGGTGGTAGAGGCACAAAGGACAACTCCTTCCTGAATCTACCACCAGTGCTTAGCTTTAAGGGGTTGCCGCTGACCATCAGACATATAGGGCAGATTGCAAAGTCGCGAGATTTTAAGAGAGTTCAAAACAGTCCCACATTGACAATTGCAAAGCGACGTGTAAAAGAAACAGATACGCTTCACGAAATATCAAGGAGTGACCTGATATACTTGCAGTGTCCTAAACCTTCACACAACAGAAGAGGGGGCAACAAGCTCAGCAAGCGCCATTTCGTGATGCTGCACGACCCCATGACTTGGTTTCATACACACAGCCTCCAAGTAAGGAATTGCTGGTGATACCAGATGGTAATGGTGCGGCGCCCAAAGCAATTCCAACAATGCACTTGATGCGCACCGTTATCAGCGGCGCTTCACAGAAGAGCGGTGATTGAACGCTTCTGATAAGGCGCCAACGAGCAGCACCAATTACTCTTTTCTGAACTGATCAGTGGCCCAGAGGAGCCAATCAAACGATTCTGAGCAGAGCGTGTCAAGAAAACCTGAGAAATGCACTGACGGCATGAAATGTTGGCACCAACCTGGAAGAGGGTGCAGTAGTTGTCCCATGACTCCATCCTCTGCTCGAGCGTCGGCGTCAGCCTTGCAAACACGTGCCTAAAGTACAGCTCCTTGTAAAGCAGACAAAACACATGGTCGTTCTCCACAAACGGCGCAATCGCATCTACCACCGGCCAGGGCGACTGCTTGAACATTCGCTCTGTGATCTTGTTGAAACTCCCCTCGTACATCTGATGGATCTCGTACACATTCTTCTCTCTGATGTGACGATACAGATAGATGACGAAGGACTGGACGATATCGGGGACAGCGCCATAGCTCGCCGAGGCGCCGTAGGCTGGCCCCTCGTCCTCCTCGTAGCGGCCCCGCTGATACGCCATGCTAGCTCACGTGCTTGCTTCACCACTTCTTACCATCTAAAGCTGAAGGGTCCAGCTAACCCGGAAACTCAGCAAGACCTAGGGCCCTTCCTTCCCCTTCCTGATTCTGGCGACTCAGACTCAGAGTCAAGACTCAAGAGCCAACGCTCTTGAAACTTGGTCTTAAAGTTTGAGCGCCCTGGCCGCCCGAGATCGGACAATGGACACATCCCTTAAAATCCCCCTTTAAAGAAATGGTTCTTGTTTGAGACCCCCCCTCTGGTTCGCGTGAGCCTTTTTGATCTATAGGCAGTCTGCTTCAAAGTTGCACGACATTACTTGGTTCCAGATCCATAGCCGAAATTTCGATGCACGGGGGGCAACCTTTGAATAACATTTGAGGCCGACCCGGGGCATCTCAACAAACAACACTTTGCTCACAATTCTGCTACTGCTGCCAGCTGTCTGCATTTCACCTCCTCTTTCAAAGTTGCATTGATTGGACATGGAGGCAATCGCCAGGCCGCTGTCTGTCAGGACGCTCTTCAACCTCTCCTGCAAAAGCCAGCTGCAAGGAGCGCCTTACAGCAAGGTGGGCCTGTAATCTTATACTTATGTGCGGGTCTTAACTGCGTTCTCTATGTGATGACCAGCATTATTCGTGGCGATTGACTCGACTCCGCAATCTGCTCATGGTGTTGCGTTTCTCTAGTCCATATTGATCCTGGAAAGTATCTTGCAGCATTGGGCCTTTTAAAGCTCATTGCATGAAGCAGACTTCTCTTGCAGACTTCTCTTGCAGCTTTCTAACTTTCTGGAGCTGAATTGGTTTGACGATTTTATGTACATGTGCGAGACATGCATGTGTTTTGCTGCCAGTTGGTTGGTTCCTGGTTGTATTACAAACGTCCCACCACTTTGTTGGGTCTGACAACGTAATCTACGTCTGCCACCCCCGCAAACGCAACTTCGTTGATTGTTCCATGTCTTGCCTACATAACAGATCCTGACACAACGCACCGTTTTGGGAAGTTTCTACTTTCGTAAGCAGCATTCATAATTGCCACCTTGTTACATTCACCAATCGCTTACCTCGCTGGCTTGACCTTTCTTCCAGACATGCTCAGCATTGAGAGGCGCCGCCACACTCCCCCTTTTTAGACCACCCCCCCCAAACCCCTTCGCCGGAAGCCTAGCCAGCAACTTTCAAACCATGGCCGAGCAGCGAAGCCGCATCACCCTCCCGCCCTTTGCCGCGCCCCAGAAGTCGAGCGGGGCCGCCACAAAAGAGTCGGACAAGGTTCAGAACGCAGACAACGGCGCGCTCGCCTCCGGGGAGCCAAAGAAGGAGCCAGTCCCCGGAAAGGACTTCCCAGCGCACCTGTTCCCGTATCCGGAGGGGTATGCTGATGTCAGCCTGGAGCGGATTCTGAACATGCCGCAGCTGCAGAGGGCTGTAGCGGCGTATGTGAAGGAGGCCAGTGCTGCGGCAATCAAGGAGAAGGGAGCGTTCACGGTGGTATTGTCTGGGGGCTCGTTGGTTAAGGTGAGAAGCACTTGGTTTCTAGTTGGTGGGGGGGTTGTTTGGTCATGATGCGGGCGATATGTAGCAGGAAGAGCGTTTTAAGGAGCTTCACTCGCAGCGGGCCCCCCGTTGCAGTTGGTGGGGGGGGTCGTTTGGTCATGACCTGGGAGGATATGTTGCAGGAAGAGCATTTTAAGGAGCTTCGATCGAAAGGGGACCCCCCTTGCAGATGGTGGGGGGATGGTTGGTCATGATGGGGCGATATGTAGCAGGAAGAGCATCTGAAGGAACGTCAATAGAAGGTTGGCCTCCGTGGAAGTTCAAAGTTGAGAGGCAGGCCCCCAATAGGTGCGCGGAAATGGGGCCTTTGAAATCGAACGAGCTCAAAAATCGCACTTTGCTGACCCTTGAGATGCAAGTACTTCTTCAGTACATTATGAGGCGCACTGTAAGGGGCTGTGATGAGGGAAAAGCTGCCTTTGGGCTTCTGAAGGTCACAGCTTGCTTCTTGATGGACATGCAACTTGGTCAAGCAATCAGAGATCCCCTGTGGAATTCCTGAGGCTCTTTTTATGTCTATAATCAGGTTCTCATCATGAGGGCTTGTCTTCACAAGCCAGACAATTGTTTTGTGCCCCCCTCCGTGGGCCATCCATCTCCCTCAAAAGGGCGATGGAGATTTCCCATCTGTCGAAACACCAGATTGAGTCATCAGACGGCCTCTGCCAAACTCCTAACAACGGCGACTCTCCTCGCTAGAATGCCCGACTCAGACATTGATCCTCTGGAGTTGGCACGTCACGTGCGCACACATCGTCAACTATGTTTACACAACTTCCCATTAGCATACTGGGCCGCTGGCATTTCGAAGCAATCTACACACCTGTTTCCCTTCTGCTACCTCATGAAGATTTCGTGTCTCATGCAAGCGCCAATCTTGCAGGGCCTGTCATCACTCATTGGCATGAAGGGGATTGACTGGTCAAAGTGGCACGTGTTCTGGGCGGATGAGCGGGTGGTCAAATTGACGGACCCAGACAGCAACTACAAGCTGGCTACGGTAAGGATACGCTGACTGTTCCTCAATGGTCCCCTTTCCTCTTGATGTAGGGATCTGGAGTCAGAACCAGGAACCTCTGCTGATTTCGAGAAGTTGACCACGGTTAGCATCTCCATCTTTGCCTTACTTTCTTCTTATTGGCCCCTGTGCCCGTGTCCCTCAAAAGAACAGGATGGCCACTTCCATCCTTTTCTAGGCAGACCTCGGCTTCCAGGTGGAGAACCCAAGCCCTCGTTGGAGTGCTTGCTTGAGTTGGTCTAAGTCGTGATCATCAAAGTGAGTCGAACAGCTTCATTTTCTCTAGATTCCGTACAGTCGTCGACATCAAAAGCCGCACTGAAATAAAAGTTGGTCATCACGCTTCAACTTGGGCTTTCCCTGTAGGACGAGTTTCTGTCAAAGGTCGACATTCCTGACAACCAGATCTACGCGTTGAACGACACCTTGGGGGCAAAGGCAGCCGCCGCAGACTACGAGAAGGTCCTCAAGTGAGCGATCACTTTTTTGTCCAGGTCGGCCAGTTGGCCTGATCATTCTGATCTGGACTCTCGAGGCCGTGTCTAACAATCTTTGATCAGTCTCAGGCCGTACTTCAAACCTTAGGCAATTCTCGACTGTGCTTCGAAAACCTCAAGTGGGCCGTGCTTCTGAGACATGAATCAGTCACGAGTCGTGCTTCAGAATCTTGGATGAATCTCTTGCCGTGGTTCAGAGATTCTGAGCGGTTCTAGCCCGTGCTTCGAAGCCTCAGGTGAGTCAGGACAGTCCTTCGAAGCTGACAAGAACGCGTGGGTTTGACTGCGAAATAGAGCATTTCCAAGGAAGACGGACGCGCCGCAAGTAGTTTGGTTGCACGAAGCAAGGTGGACTTTTCGGATCAATCTTTAACACCTTCACGCCTCGCATGGTCAAACTCACACGCAGCCTTCATCTTTGTAGAAACCTGCCTCGAGACGTCCTTCCCCTGAGCAAGGGCGACCAGTACCCTCGCTTTGACCTGGTAAGGTCGCCCCGAAGCCCCGTTCTCCCCATTAGCCTGCTCTTGATTTCGATGACTATCCACTCTGATTGGCCGGTTAGAGTTGATATGAGATCCTCTATGTGTTCAGAGGACGAAAAGTGAGTAGCTCAGTCAAGGCGGCGGCCTGCAACCCACTTCACCGTTAGCAAAGTCTGCTTTTAAAAAGCTTCTCCTTTTAGAGTAGGATACTAGTTTTCAGGCGAACTTGCTGCCTAAGAACTTGTCAGGTTCAAAGCCGGTCAAGACACTTCCATGAGCTGCTTCCTCAAAGGGAGGGGACTCCCAGTGGTGTCCCGCTGCAGGATATGCCGGTTTTTATGAGTCCATCTCTCTAGCACTTCGGAAGGATCTGCTTGCCTTGAAAAGGAGCCGTTCAGAGGAAAGCCTTTGATTCTGTTCCCCTTAGGAGAATTCCTCGCAGAGAAATCCCTTCCTGAGCCCCCACTTTGTGCGCAGATTCTGCTCGGCATCGGTCCGGACGGCCACATAGCGTCGCTGTTTCCAAACCATCCCCTTGTGGGAGAACGGGCGAAGTGGGTCGCACACATTACGGACTCCCCAAAGCCACCCCCCCAACGCATCACCCTCACGCTCCCCGTCATAAACTCGGCCAAACAGGTGGGTTAAGTGGCCGGGTTTCGGAAAAGGTGGCTGGTTTTTGCTGCGGTATATGGAGAGAAGTTGCTGCGGTTTGTAGCGGAGTAGCTGAGTTTGGCTGAAAGTGCATGGCGTTCGAGAATAGAAGTTTGGTTCATGAGTAAGCGGCCGCAGTCTGTGGATCGTTCTACGGCGGTGTTCATATGAATCCGGTTTGACCACTTTTATTTTTAGGGTCTTAGTCCCGTAGTTGCAAGCGCTGGCTACAATCACCAAGACTTTGCTCTTCGTGTTGGTTCATGCGTCATCCTATTCCCTGGAGCTTATCACAACTGGCACAACGATCCCATCTGACATCGCTCATGACTCGGAACAGACGATCCAAGCTCCTTGAGAGTTTCCATCGGCTTCGACAGATGGAAGAGATGACCGTAAGCAATGCATAATAGCAAGTAAACTGCAATATCAACAATCTTGAGGGGGCCATATGTAACCCTGCAGAACTTGTAGAGTGAAGAACTGTCCTCCTTTTTGAGGTCCACTTTAAAGAAGAAACCACCCTGGCTGTGTGTCAGTTGCCATGCTTGTTGATCCTTCTTTGCTGCAACCGAGACTCGTTTCTGTTTGCTGTCTGCTCCAACAACTTCAAGGACCCAACCAACTGTCGGCCTGACAAGCTGGATAGGCATCACTTGTTTGCGTTTTGTCGATCTTCAGCATGTTGAGAGTTGCCGTCGGCCTGGAAAGGCAGAGGGCTGCGGCGGCCGTTTGCTGTATCCAACGTGGACCAGAGCGCGACCTCGTTCGAGTTCATTGAATCCTCAGCCGAGTCCTGTTGCGGCTTTCGGTCTGGCCGAAGAGGTTCCGATACCCTAACAAGCTAGCAATGCGCCCCTCACAAATTGCTCGTCCAGTCTTCTTCACGTCAGCCTTTTGTCCTCGTCCACACGGAGCAAACTTGGCGTTCGTTTACGACGACTTTGACGTTCTGTGTACGTCGTTGTGTTCACCGATATCAAGTGTCTCAAACCCCCCCTTTGCAGGTGGCATTTGTGGTCACTGGTCAAGGGAAGGCCGAGGTTTTGCAACGAATCCTAGAGGTGTCTGCACTCCCTGGGGCGCTGCCCGCGCAACTCGTGCGGCCAACCGACGGTAGTGTGACGTGGTTTGCGGACTTGGCAGCGACAGCAGAACTGAACTCCGAGGCGTGGGCGGATGCTAAGAAGTTCCCTCGGAATGCGCTATAACATACCGCATCAAAAGGTTGGGGTCAGGTCCGTTGCAAAGAATATTAATCGGGGTTTTATATAGCAAAGAACTCTCCCTTCAAAGTGCATCATGGCATGGTTGCTCCAACTCTTGGATGGGAGCACGGTTTGCCTAGGTCCTGCGACCTAGTCGATGTGGAGCTGAAACAAGTTATAGACGACTGCTTGGCATATGCTAGGTGCAAATGCAAGGCAACTCGAGTCAAGTGTACTCAACCGTAATAAGCCGGCAGACCTCTATCTAGCCTGCCAAGCGCTATCGTGCTGCCATGATCCGAATGTGGTGTCCCTGAAAAACACGCTAATTACTCCAGATATTAATGCAAATACATACAAATACAGTGAATGTTGCATTTATTCGTACTTAGCTGTACAATGACTTTGGTGCCTGATTAGAATTATAATGCCTATGTTGTATGATCGTAGTTTGCGTCGACAATCGTCCGACGTGGCGCTCTATGTCAGGCTCCGTTAGTGCCAGCACCTGTCATGGTGCCACTGGCATTGATGCAAACCTATCAAAGCATTCTTTTTTTGTAACTCTCGTGCCAGCCATTTAGGACTATAGTATATCCTGGCCCGGATCTTGCTGAACCCTTTTTGTCAACCAACCCAACATGCATATAGCGCTTTTTTAAGCGGCTCTTTCTAAAGGCTTTTGCAAGACAGGACAATTCTTCACCTGCTCCGACTAAACAATACCGACTAAACAATACCTGAGACAGTCCAGATGAGGCCTCGCATATAGTCCTACGGTAATAGGTAAGTCAAACTTACAGTCTTACAATGCAGGGAGGGGGAAGGAGGAGATAGGTTGACGTCTGTCATTGTCGCAACCTGGCGGAAGCCGAGAAGCGAATGATGAGTCATGATTAGAAGTTCTAGTGGAACCCAAAACTTGAAAAGCGCCACACAGAATCTTTGTCAAAACCGTCCGATGCAAGTTTAACGGGCTTCTGCGACCGTCCGATGAAAAAGTCGTGGCAAAATGCGGGCCAGGATATAAACAACACGAACCTGTTTGAATTTACGATCCTGACAGTGAAATACACGCGGATAGGTTCTGAG